GCGAGCAGTAAGTCGGCAACTGCCAGGGACACGATAAAAAAGTTGCTTTTGCTGTGGGAGAGAATAGGCTCTGTGAAAATTGCCAAGCACACAAGAACATTTCCTACCACTGCCACAGTAATGATCAACGACCCGACGATACCAATCAAGACGGTTCCGTGCGAAAAAAACAAGTGGTGCTGTTCATCGTATGCGGGAGGCGCCCACACAACATTTTCTGGATGAGGCACGTCGTGTGTGGAACTTTTTAAAGATTTCATCGTGAAGACAACAAGCAAGGATCTGTCACCGTCTGTTGCACCTAGGTGGAAACGGAAAGAGAAAATAAAACTTGTGAAATTCTCAGATCAAGACTGCGGTTTCTGTGTAAGTTTCAATCTTGTACTTGTAAATTTTTTATGTTCGAAGTTTATACAGCTATACATGTCATAAGATCACGGACACTGGAGGGAAACAAATGTGAGGCAGCGTGGTGGAATCAGACTCTTGTCAAAAAAATCAAAGTGAAGAAACTTGCATTGTTCCCCAAGTTTGAGAATTTTTATCAAATTTTTGTTTTTTGGCTCAACACCTTCCATATCCATTCAAGAACTCACTTCTGTGTGGTTTTGTCTTTAAAAACGTTGGTTGATGGAACAAAAAATGTAAATTTTCAGTTACCACGGACTCTTTAAGCTAAGGAAATAACTAATCTTTGGCGGCAATTTTCTCACTAATTTTACCTCTGAAAACAGGTGACCTCCACCTTCTTCATTCGCAAATATCTTGACTTGTATTCAAGATAAATAGATATTTTTTCATTCAAATAAAGAAGAGTGAACTAGCTTTAAGATGACACCAATAACTCTACACGCCCAAAAATTGACGAGTGCCTGATTCTACCACGCTGCCTCACAAATTATTGTGATTCAAACTAATGTCATTATGAACTGGTAACAGGAGATTGTAACATAGTCAACGTCACTTGTCAGGCGTTTGAGTGCAGTAGGGGTATATGGTAACGGTTATCCGTTAAAATTGCTACCTCTTTTGAATTTCTTCGTTACCTTCAAACTATTTCATTGATCAACACAAATGTTGCGGCTCAAGGCATTAGCTTTTGTGTATCACGTCAAGTATTTGCTATATGTAAAAGTGGTAGGTTTTATGTCAATATGACAAAATTCAGGAATTGTCAAACAGAATAGCCTTTAGTTTGATTCAGTACTTCACTTTATTGAATCAGAACAACATGTTGAACTTTAATCAATGTGTGACTTTTCCTCCAAAATTAGTAGGTTATCACTAATAGTTAAATTAAACCTATGTTTCTGAGCTACAAACGTAATTAAACACATCTAGATCTATATCTTTGTGTGTGTCTAGCAAAAATGGTATAATCTATCTAAACCATTATCCATTTTAGCCTTCAGTTTCTTTAAAAAATCTTGCTACAGTATTAGATTGTCTTTAAAAACTGCTTTTTGTCGTAGTAACAGAGTTTAGAGATTTTGTAAAAGTAGTGTAGAAGCATAAGGGCGGAAAGCACAATTTTCAATCAAATTGACTTCAAATCCCAATTGTTTTAGTTAGCCAGAATTGGGTTATTTGATAACGGTTTATCAAATTTTTTTGCTTCAAGGCCAAAAGAAAAAAAAATGTTCAAAAAACGATGTAACGATAGCGTTATCACAGTACAGAAGAGGATCTACCACAGTACTTTGCAACAGACAAGGACGTTGTCTTCTGTCACGACATACCAGGTTTGTTCCGTACATTGGACGTATCTGATTACGACCCGATTGAGTCGAGCATTTTCTTGGAGAGCTCGAAGAGAAGTCTGAAGCGTGTGCTAAGCTATATTGGATATTCATTTGGGTCCGTTCCTATTGGTTACTCGGCTCTGCTTAAATAAGAATACAGGCACATAACAATAATGCTGAAGTGACATGAACATAGGAACCACGACTAAAAGATTCGTGTTGATTAGTAAATAGTCAAATTCTTTCTTAACCAATAGGTGCCTGTGAAGGAAAAACTCTAGAAACAAAAGATTTGACAAGTAAAGACAGCTCTAGCTGTTGGAGAGAGGAATGTCGTCAATGAACCACTTGTGTTGATCCAAAAATCGTCTTTCCTCCCTTTCATATCCAATTATGCTTGACGAAACAATTCGGGAAAGCCCTGGACTTTGAGTGGAGACTGTTTCAAGTATGTCTTACAACTTTTCCTAATCTCAGTTTTATTACGAGAAAAAAAGGGCTTGTGGGTTGTTGTTGGTGTTTTTTCGATGCCTTCCAAATCAGAAAGCTGGTCACAGATTCTTGGTGGACATTTGGGGGGGGGGGCGAAAGAGCTGCAGAAAATACCAAGAACATAGTCAAAATTTGTTACAAAACTTTCATCGTTTGGACTGTAACACTTGCATCGAGGATAGTTATTTATTACATTAAGTAATGTAGAACGTGATTCTCCTCAAAACTTTGGTGATGTCAGTAATGAGCGAAGTGAAAAATTTCAAAAAGACTTTGCGATTATGAAAAAGAGTTTCCTCAAGGCCTTTGAGACATCAACACGATGGTACATTTCTGTTGAAGCATTTAAAGAGACTGTCAAGATGAAAAACACTCTGGACAATCCTGCAAAAGAAAGTTTCTGTCATGAATAGATCGGTTTCGACTTAAAAACACTAATTCATAATGTTGTACCCATTGCTATAGTGAAACAGAGGACTGACACTATTTATACATAACATGAAAAAAAAACTTTGATTTTGACGCCTCAGATTTTTCGGGACAGAGGAGCGGTTTGCTCTGAACAAAGTTGGCGTTTATTATTATTATTATTATTACAGCTAATTCAATATTGTGTACCTCAAAACAGGGGTTATGACACAGAGAAAAACACTTGACGTGATAAAGCAAAACGGATGTCATTTTTTGTTTCATCGACCTCTAATTACTGTACATGAAGTCTGAAACTCCATGCCCCAGAAAAAAGCTCAATTTTGCTGTCCAGTGTTTTTAGTGAAATGTGGCTTCACCGTGCTTATTTACCCCCGGTCTACTAACTAACAGCTACCACCCACAAAGCATGGAAGTACACCCACTGAAGATTAGGAAGAGATGTACGCCCAACTTCTCTGCGAAACGATAAGAATTATGAAGTACCAAGCACAGCCATGCCCAGAGAAATTCTGACACAGACAAGAGTAGACATTTAAAATGAAATGTGGCGTTTCTATAACTTACAAGATAGACATCGAGACAAGATTATAATATTCTCAATGTTTTTTCAGATTAGATGAAGAACTTGCCCAGTAATAATGTAAACACCCACCAATTTGAATTCTTTTGAGCGGAAGCCCTTCATCCACCATTTATGTCGTGTATTTCGTCATCAGTTCTAGTGATGTGCATTCTATCTCTCTATGTAAAACGTAGCACGGAAAACCAAGGTAGACAATAAAGTACAAACGTTTATCAAAATTAGAATCCTCAGTCTTCATTGATCGATTATGCTGTAGTTGTAGTTTTAGGAGAACGACATGCATTTTCATTGGAGACACTGGCCTCTTTACTCTAGACTTTTTGCACCAGAGTGATGCGTATATTCAGATTATGCGGACATGCACCACACTAGTACATATTTATGAAAAAGTTTGATTTTGTAGAAGCAGTCATGTGACTAGTCAAAACATCGAAAGCTAATTAATTACCCCATACATGACATGTGTCGTATACAGTTACAGTGGGAACCCAGTGCATTTTGGCATTTGATGATACATATTGTCATGTGCTTTTGATCCGTGGGATATGGTCAGGGGCGCTCCGTTACCTCAGTTAGTATTATGCCGGAACACAAAACGTATGGCCCTTGTTTGATTCCCCCGAAGGGAAACTCTGAGCCGTATTGATTTGCGGGTGTTTTAAGGATCAGTACCCATTTGGCTCGATCCTAAAGAATACGGATGTTAGATTTGCAGGTCCCACCTCTTACAAAACCCTACACTGGAGAAAGGGGCGTTAAACATACTCAATCTGAATAGAGTCGGAGCCAGTCATATTTTCCTTCACGGAGAGGTGAAAGCTACCAATGTGGCACAGTTAGGTAGGACACACTATAGTAATGGTGAATTGCAACGAGGCATGGGTGTGTGCCTGGTTCAGGGGTCTCCGTGTTTGTGTATTTGTGTGTATGTGTGTGTATGTGTTAGTGTGTGTGTGTGTTTGTGTATGTGTGTGTGTGTGCATGTGTGTATGCGCGTTTGTATATGTGTGTGTGTGTGTGTTTGTGTGTGTGCATGTGTGCATGTATGTGTGTATCCGTGTATGTGTGTGTATGCGCGTTTGTATGTGTGTGTGTGTGTGTGAGAGAGAGAGAGAGAGAGAGAGAGTGTGTGTGTGTG